TTAGCATTTTCTCCAACCCACTTAGTTTCTTGAATACATAAGATATTAATTTTCCTATGAATCATAATATCAACTAATTTCATTAATTTACCATAGAGAGTACCTATATTCCAAGATCATATTCTAATATTAGTTTCATTAGTTGCTTGGACTAACTTCTTTACCCGCATTCGTCCGTAATGTGGGAACTCTTGCTTATTTAACACTACAAAAGGCATAATAGAAATTAATGTAACAGGCAAGGGCATTATTAAAATATCAACATAAATTTTGTGCCATCTCTACATGCACCTAAGAAAAGGTGGATAAAAGCAGGCGAACTTCCCTGTTTCCGTAGTAGATTATTATATGACAAGCACAATAATTGTGGTAATGGCATTAAAAGAAGGATATCCAAATGGTATGGATTGATGGGGAAAAAACATTACAAATGCAAAACTAAGCAGCTAACAAATGCAGTCCGTAATCGCTAGAATCTAATGCAAAAAATAACCAAGAAAGCTAAATAATACAAAACAAAGGGTAAACAAAATTCTGTGAAGTACTCTGAAGTGAAATCTGGACATAAAATGGTAGTTTTAACTTATTCCAAACATCCGTAATCTAATTTATATAATTTAAGAGTGTTCGTGATGCAGAAAAAGAAGCCCTAGGAAATTAGGAAATTAACAAAATGAACACCAAATCATGCAGTCACACAAGTAAGAGAGAAATTGGTTCAGTAAGGGTGCCATGCCTTATTTCAATGTTTATTTGTCATCTTCTTATTTGCGTTATGCATGAGGCCGTTATGGTCCTCCATCTTATTTGTTATTATAGTTAGCGTTAGTTGACTGGATACCTGGCGTCCAAGTATGATAGGGCTTAAATCAAATCATATAAAAGTGCAATACAGCAGAAAAATCATGCATATCAAAATTTGCAGAAAATTTATCAAACTATATCAAATACTTTCAAATCAACCAGTTCACATTTTTGGAAGGCAAAGTTTTAAGATTCCATCTTTCCCCTCTTTTGGTTATCCCATTAAAAGAGAGAAAAGAAGGATGGAGTGACGCATGCCGGCTGAGGAATATATGCAATTCAGATCTAGTTATAGAGGACATCATTGAAGAGGTCAGTTTGAAACCAGCAACATTCCAGGCTTTCCATAGAGCAGAAGGTTCCAATGCTTGAAAATCTTTCGGAAGCATTAAGTATAAAATAATAATTCTTAATGATTAAAAAAGTTGCATACATATAATTCATACTTATTAATAATCCATAATGCAACGCCAAAAACATGTGAAAATCGACTGTTGCATCCCAACATGGCATAAAAAACACAATAACTACGATGATCTGAAAGTATTTGTAAAGGTTACCCAATATAAAAAAGCACTGCATGGGAACATTCTGTATGTATTAAAAAAAAGCCTACATAAGCAGATAATGGATTTGCATTTAGTGTTAGCCAAGGTGATTCTGAAACTGTATGGTGGTCATGATATCTTACCATTGGCTGTCAAGAATTGCACTAGGCACATAAAAGCAGCAAAAAGATGAGAATAACTAGAAATTGCATGAGCAAAGCATAACAAGCTGATGATAAACCAGAAAAAATTAGATACCTGAAATATAGATAACACGGTCACAGGATCTGTGGCTGATATTAGAGCACCGAACATCATGCATTCAAATAAGGGCAGTCTATACATGATAAATATTAATCCACCAAGGTAGCTGCAAATCACAAATCACAACTATTCAGATTAAAATCTACGAAAAGGATACATATTTTGCAAGGAGGCGCTAGCACAATGGCATACTTACACTAAAAGACCTGTAACAACTGAGGCTATAAACGTTCCCAATATAGCAAATGTTATAATCGCACCAAAATTTGAAAAGAATGGTTTCTGAAAGAAAATATTGGATGAGCACGTCAGATACAAAGTCAATGCAGTATTAGAAAGGCAACAACTGCACAGAAACATAATATTGAAGGACTTACAGGTGCTAAGCTGAAACCTGACTGAGTAGCCACAGTCAAGGGAAAAACATAAAAAGCTTTGAGTGTAAAAAATTTCCAGGATTGTTTTAACAAAAATGATAAAGAAAATGAAGAGTAAATATAAAAAAATTAGGATATAATATAATCGGAGGGCGCTTTTGCATAGCCTTTCTTTTTCACATGTACCAGAATCTCATGAGCTTTTTCTGTCCTTAGAGATGATAGATCCCATTTTGAATATGCTTGTCAACATTGTATTGCTTAATAGCTTAATTTAGCAATGCAAATGCATCGTTTCAAGGATATAATATAATCGGAGGCAGTAGGAAGAGAAAGAAAAATTCTTCATGAAAGTTGAACCATTTCCTGAAATGAGCAACCACGTAGCAAGTATGATAAAAAAACATAGCAGATATTGGTAAAAAAATTATAGGACCAGGATAACAGGATAACAAACCTGATATTCATTTCTGTCTGAGAAACATTGGCAAAACCACCAACAACTAAACCTGCATGGTGATGGCACAAAGATAAATATTAACAATTAATGAACTATAAACTTATTTGAGATTTCCCCCAAATGTAACAAGAAAAAAACTCAAATGGAACTCGGATATAGCAAATTAATAATAATATTCTATCAGAAATTTAAAATTATACATAAGCACACTTCAATGATAAAAACTGATTCCGCACAAGGTCTTAATTGTGTGGAAAGATGTTGAAAGATGTATAGAAAGAAAAATATAAGAAATGTTACTCCCTTTTCTTTAATTAAAAAGCAGTGGATGAAGATATCCAACAATAACTCAAAAAGTACACAAAAAAATTAAACCAATATGGACTTGCATAAAGGCCTAACTAATATGGCTACGATCACTTTCCTAATGCATATAAACAAAAAGATTTCAGCATTTTATGAATTCCCTGAATTGTCGTTGAGCTTGCCGTGCCATATAGCCCTATTGAGAGTACTATGCTTGTGTGTGCTAGCTGGGATTCCCATTAAGACTACTTGATATCTGTTGGATTCCCTTGAGAGTTTATTGCTCCCTCCTACTGACGCAGGGCTAGGGCCAACCAACTGAAGACAAACCGATCTGAGAAAACTAGTCCCAATTCTTACGGAATCGAGCCAAAGCGGCAATTAGAAAGCATGAAGGTCCCGTTTCCTTCAGGGATGAGCGAGAGTGGCACTTTGAAGAGGTGGTATGCCGCTAGCCCCTTCTTGCCTAATCTTTTCTGTCTTTCCTCATTTCCTTTCTTGTTCCCTGCCTGATGGGAGCCTATTTAGATGCTCGTTGTTGGATTAGAGTTATATTTTTGTGTGAGTTATTTCAAATTCCTGCAGAAGTTGTCATTTTCCCTTGCGAGAGTTGTATCTGAGGACGGTGGTGCTCCGATTGTATCCTGCTCCAAAGTGTTGATGTATCTTCTCCTATCCCCCTCCCTACTCCTTCTCCTTCCCTTCCATTAGCCACAGGCCATCCCCATATCATTACCTGCTATCCCACCCCCTCCCCCCCCCCCCCCCCCCCGCCGCGGGAATATTCTATTCCGGGCCTAGCCAGAGAATATTTGTTATTGCATTTCCCCTTTCTATCTTTGTCGTGTTGTAACTCTATTTCAATATTAATAAAAGTTTGTTTTTTGCATTCCCGCCGAGTTCCAAACTCTTTTCTTAGTAGCCAGCCCCTCTACCACATCGAGCCACATTGTCGCACCTACCCAGCCTTCTTCCCTTGCTCTCCAGCTCTTTCACCTCCACATTTCCTAGCAGCCATCCTCCCTGCCGCCACCTTTCCTTGAATGTAACATGCTGCCCAGCCCTCCCCACCGGCCTTTGTACCCAGTCAGCCCACCTACAGCCAGCCACCCTACTGTCCGGCTCGTTCTCCTCTCCCTATCACCAAACTCTCTCTCACTCCCTCCCTCTCCCACCCCCTCCCCCCCCCCCCCCCCCCCGCCGCGGGAATATTCTATTCCGGGCCTAGCCAGAGAATATTTGTTATTGCATTTCCCCTTTCTATCTTTGTCGTGTTGTAACTCTATTTCAATATTAATAAAAGTTTGTTTTTTGCATTCCCGCCGAGTTCCAAACTAATTCCGGTATCACCCTCCCCCTCCCCCTCCCCCTCCCCCACCGCAAATAGAAGAATAAAGATCTTCTTTGATATCGCAGTTAAACCAACAACAGTAGGAAAGTAAATATTATTATTAAAAACAAATATGTGGTTAAGACCAAATAAATACGTTTGAAAGGGAAAACAGCAACAAAAGCGACAACGTCCCCACAAGGGATTGATCAAAAGGTGGTGGCGGTCAGTTATGGAGTGGAAGGCGTGGTAAGGCGATGGAATGGTGGTAGGGGTAAGCAGTAACAACTACAGCATGGGGATTACAAGGTTGCAGTTTGGGGATGGCAGCAAGTTCGGACAGCTAGACAGCGGAATGACAGCGATAAAATAGCATAAGTTACTATTTGGGGGTGAAAGTGTTGACCTCATTTTTTGTTGAGGTCTAGTCTTTCTTCTTTAGAAGCCTAGGATTTAGTCATAAGACTTACCTGTTGATTATTCTTAGAGGACTAGTAAAGAAACACTCACTATTAGAAATTCTAAACACTTTTTGACCTCATTTTTTGTTGAGGTATAGTCTTTCTTCTTTAGAAGTTTAGGATTTAGCCATAAGACTTTCCTGTTGATTATTCTTAGAGGACTAGTAAAGAAACACTCACTATTAGAAATTCTAAACACTTTTTTACTCTTCTTGAAGTTCCACAAGTTGGTTCTAACCTCTAGCACCCAGTAGGTGGAGCCAACATGGGGGAGCTCAGAAGGAGTCCCCCTAAGATTGTTTGGCCTTAGGGTTTGCCCTTGGTGGTTTGGTCTTAGACAGTCTTGCGCGCACACACTTGAAACCCCTCACCTTCACTCACGCCCTAAACCCTTAACCAAACATACTTAGCATGATCCCCTACTCTTTTAAAAACTCATCTGAATGGTCCCTCAAACCCTTTTATTAGGGTTTGGCTAAGACCAACACCTGGAGGATCCAAAATGAGAGCTCCCTTGGTCCCATGGCACCATAAGGGTAATTTTATGATTAGCATCTTCAATTGATCTCATTCTACCCAAATTCCTAATTTTGGTCTTTTGCCCCCAAACTTTCCCAAAACTACCAAACTACCCCTGAAAATTTAAATTTTAAAAAATTTTCAAAATCCTCAAATTTTGTCCAAAAATCATCCCAAACCATTTTAAATCACTCAAATTGCACAAAACATCTCAAAATTGCCAAAATACCTCTAACTTCACCAAAATTTCTAAAACGTCCCTTATGGCCCAAAAATTCTCAAAACCTCCCAAGTCATTCCAAACATCCCCAAAACTAATCATAGCCACCCATTAGACCCAATTTGACCAAATTGACCAATTTTGACCAAAATCCCAATTTTACCCCTAAATGTCCAAAATCTCCAAATCTATCCCAAATTCCATAATTCAGCCTCATTTGCACCAAATTGATTCCAAATTTCCCCAATTTCAAATCTAAACTCAATTTTATCATGTCTAAGCCAATTTTGAACCAAATTCAAGCCTAATTGAACCCAATTTCAAATTCAAATTCCAAACCCAATTTTAACCCCCAATTTGACCATAAGCCAAAATCCCATCAAATTGAACCCCTTAACCCATCAAATTTTCTCAATTTTGGATTCTAAACTATTCATGACATTCCCCTAGATCAAATTGAACCTTCAATTGGCCTTGACCTACTAGCCTCAAGCCTACCCCAAATTCAACTCAAACCAAAACCCCCAATTTTGCCCCAAACTTCAAATTCCTTTAAATTGAACCCCATACCCCTCAATCTTCAACCCAATTAATTTCCAAATGACTTGTGACAAAATCCTATACCAAATTGGTCGTTCAATGGACCCAAATCCAAGCTCTAGACAAACCCAAACCCAAACCCAAGTCCAAGCCAAATCCCAAAATTTGAGCCCAAACCCTAAATCCACTTGGAGCCACTTGGTTCAGCCCATCTTGGACCACCACAACTATCATTTAGACCCTAAGAACCAGCCTAGATCTTCTTAGCCCAGCCTAGAGGTGCCATGGACCAAGGGTCCCATGATTTGGGAGATTCCTTCCCATTTTTGGCCAAATGACCTAAGCTTGAGCTTGATCACAATTAAACCTCCCCCTTCGTTCCTTGAGCAAGCTAGCCACCTCCCCTGGCTTGGCCAACCGGCCTAATGGCCTGAAAACCCAAAACCGAGAAGGCTCCCCCATGGACCAAGCTTCAAATTCACCCATCCAATGTGGCCCACCCCATTGGCGTCGTTCAACCCTCCACCTAAGCTGCACTTTGCACCCACTGGTCAGCCCAATTGTGCATCTCTTCCTCCTCTATATAAACCACCACTCTCACTGCCATGAAGAGAATGTCGCCTGAAGAGAGTGTCGCCAATTGTTTGGGGAGAGCCTTCCAAATTGCTCACAGAGCTTCCTCAAGCCTTCTTGAGTTCAACCTCACCATTTCCAACCACTGAAACCCACCGCCAAACCATAATTTTGAGTTCAAAATCTAGGACTTTTTCTGATCCAAAGATTTTTCTTTCACTCCACTAAACTCCACCAAAGCTCAAATTAAACCACTCTTAAGCTTCCTCAGGCCAAACGAGGAAGTTCCCCATCAAAACCCCCTCTGTTGAGCACTCTAACCCACTCCTAGACCAAGGTCGCATCACCTGTTGGTCGAAATCATACCTAGACCTTATAACAGCTCAAACAAACACTTCAAAGAAGTTCATTGGACCACAAGGAAGCTTCTACAAGCCCCCAATCGAGGCTTCACCTCTAAAAGGAAGCTTCTACAAGCCCCCAATCGAGGCTTCACTTCTAGGGCAAAGGTATATTTCAAAATCCCTAATTTTAGCCTCGATTTCATTAAATGTGAAGTGAACTTGTATTTCATACGTATATAACCGTATAGATAGGTTTGTCTTGAGTATCGAGTTTTAGTGTGGACGGTTCTCGATTTAAAACAGATGGGGACGATGAACGAATAACGTCCATTCGCGCATGTACTGATCCAACGGCGGAAAAGTCGGACGGGAGATCTATTCGTGAACAGCGTGACGCGTGGCACGCTGAGGTGTAAAACGCAACGAATCAGAACATGTCGCGTAGTCTTTCGGAGCCGTCGTAGGTTGATGTAGACGTCGCGTGAATAAGTAAAAAATAGGATAATTTTTATTTAATTAAATAGTAAAACTTTAAATCA